AGTATAAAGGCTTGGGTTTTGTTGGGTGTGTTGCTACAGAAAGACCTACGTTAACCTCAAATTCTGACATGACAGGTGTGGGAGTGTCTTACTTTGAGATCACCTCCCCACTGATACAGCACACCAGCAGAGCAATGTCGTCATAATAGCTTGGGGAGCCTTAGGGGTACCAGTCTTCTACCTGCCACCACAGCAGCTACTTCCGGAGAGCTAAATCAAGAGAATAGTGGGTTTCCTCACAATTTGAAAGTCTGATCGTAACACATTCATGGCGATTAGAACCAGCCCAAGAGCCCACAGGCTTATGGCCCCACATGAGTAAGTCTGTGTTTAGAAAATACCGTGTTGCCAGGTTACAGCTTTGGCTAACGTGGGACAAGATGGGACATGGGGTGCAGCTGCTGTTCCCGTGGTGTGTCAGTTAAGATGAGCTTGGTCTACTGCAGTGACACACAGCCTCTTAATTTTAGTGGCTTACCATGACAAAGGTTTCTTTCTCATGCTGCATGTCCGCTGTAGATTTTCAGGGGGCTCTGTTCCATGTTTTCCTCCTCAGAAACCCTGGCTGATGGAGGCTTCACCATCTGGGACATCACCACTTGTTATGGCTGGAGAAGAACACATTAGAACATGCACATCCGAAGTTAAATGCTTCCACCAAGAAGTGAGTTGTGTCACATCTGCCCACAACCCCTGGCCCTGTGTCATCCTACCAAATATCCAGAAGGAGGAGAACCAGAAACATTGCTAAATGTTTAGGTATGTTGACTTTCCACAATACACTCAGAAAACCACTCTAGCATCTGTCTGCTAATGTCTCACACTCTATCGTGTTATGCAAAATGGTTCACAGAGAGAGGGGAATTGAGTGTCTCTGAGAATAATTGTCTTAATTCCACTGCCCAGTTTGACACCTCCTGAGAAGCAGGGTGATGCCATGAACCAGGACTGGGAGTCCTGAGCTGGGAATGGCAGACTGGGGTTTGATTCTTGCCCTTGTTCTGATTCTGCTGAGTGAGCTGGGTCAACTTTCTCCTTTTGGTACTCTGTAGCCCTGAAACATTTCCTCACATCTTTCCTGCCACTTCCAACCCTGAAGTATGACAGACCCAAGTACTTTGCAAGGTACACATCATATCAATTCCATTGGGTGGTAAATCTAGTTTGAGCCATTTAACACTAATTTTAGGCCTCACAAAATATTTTAAAAGAATGGTGAGGGGCATAACAAAATGAAAGCTTCTGTTAAATTTCTCTGACATGCCTGGAGCTAGGATTCCTGCTTCACTGCTTCCTTGCTATTTAGCACAGCAGGAGAGTATGGGCTTTGCAGACTGACCAGCCCCAGTCCCAGAACTGCCACCTGCTAACAGTTTCTCAGCCTCCCCTTCCTTACCTGTAACATGAAGATAAGAGTAGTCCTTCCTCATGGGGTCATTTTGAGGATCTAATGAGATGATGCATGCAAAGCTCTTAGCACAGAGCCTGGCACATGGTAAGTAATCTCTCAGTGGTAGCTTATTGTCAGCTGATATTTTTAGTATTGTTATGTCCTCTTCCCCAAGCAAATAGTCTGGTTTTTCAATATGTTTAAGAAAAGATTTCATGAGAATAGTCAACTTGCTAGAGGGAGTCCCCTCACCTCTTACTTACTGGCCCAGTGGCCTTAGCGCATACAGGTAGCAGGTGCCAGCTGCCGGGTGGGCTGCCCTCAGGCTTGGGCGGGCGGAGCTGGGAAGGGCTGAGTTAGTTACCAGTAGTCACACGATGCTGAGATGGGCCATGGCCGAGGCCTGGAGGACCAGCCTCCCGGTCCCCTGGCACACAGACAGCTCCCTTGCTCCCTGTCCTTGGGGACCTCACAGTTCCTGCCCAATTTAAAGTTCAAACTCTGCAACTACACAAGTGTGCAGATTTTGCAGCTATGGGGCTTCAGAGACCCTGGGCTTCTTGTGATGTCCCAGGAGGGCCTGGCTGGGGTGAGATGGGTACAGAAGAGACACTGGACAGAGAATCTGAAACCTGGGTCTCGTTACAGTCCTGCCCCTTGGACTGAGGTCTGGCCGCCATGGCTCCCCTGTCCTAGACCTGGGTATCCTGGGCTGTGAAATGGGGTGTCTTTTTTCAGGATTGTCATGAGGACCTGGATTCATGGAAGTTTAAGGAAAGCGAAGGGCTAGATAGGACATTCAGTCAGGGACTGAGTCAGGTGCGTGAGTTTCTACAGGTGTCCTTTTCCCTTTCCCTTCCCATCTCCCTCTTCCCTTCCTTTCCTTTCATTTCCCTTCACCTGTCCAATAAAGGTTAACAATTTGACACAGTTTAGGGACTTAAAAACAGCCTTTAGTAAAGCAGCAGCTGCTGCACATTTTCCCACTACTGTACTATGAGTTGTCCTATGGAATTTTATTACAAACATAGGCAAAGTAAAACAGCAGAAAATTGTTACCACTTATTTTCTGGTTGCTTATAGAACAGTGCCGTTGGAGAACCTGGTGGAAACCAGAACTCCAGGGAACAGACTCATCACCATGCCCTTCTCTCACCTTCCCCATCTCTGTTGCAGTGGTAGCAGGGCTGTGACCCAAATAAGCCAGAAATCCAGGCATCCACCCCCAGTCCTCTCTTCTCATCTGCCTCTGCATCGTATGTATACCCCAGATGCTTCCTGGCTCCCCCCTCTCTGCTTGACTGCCCCCTAACCCCCACCCCCAGTGCCTGGGTCCAGGCACTAGCTTCCTCACTTCCTGCCCTCAGGCTGGAGGCCTCCTCGGCTGCCCTCGGCTCGGGAGCCCGGGCTGATCTTCCTTTTCTTAAAATGAGTAACATTATTTCTTAAGTTCAAGTCACATTCATTTTAGAAATATTGGATAATATTGGAATTAAGAAAACAATACCTATAACCCCAGTCACCCAAAGGAAATAACTGTTAGTTAATATTTTATCATAGTTTTCAGAATTTCCATATACATACTTATTCATTATCCATAAGAAAAATACTTTTAAAAAACTGGGATCATACTGAATACAGAGTTATGTGTTCTTTTGGTTTCTATTAATTACATTAGATTGCATTACATTACATTGTAATTAACTATGTTAATTACGTGAGCATTTCCCACCATCAAATATTCTTCAGAAATTCATTAGAAATCTTATGGCTACATCACCTTCTGTCATTGGACTCCACCAAGGATCTGTTTAAACATTCTATGGTTTGACATTAAGATTCTTACAATATTTTGTACTGTAAATTATGCTGTATGTAATATCCTTATACATAAATCTTTGTGCCTATAATTATTTTCTCAGACTAATTCCTAAAAGTACAGATGTCAGGTCAAAAGTCTGAGAGTCTTCAAGTGTCTTGAGTCTTACTTCCAACTTATTTTGCAGGAAATGCATATTAATTTATCCCCATCCCCACTGGCAGTGTATGCTGTTACCTATGTCACTGCACTGTAGTTAAGGATAGACTTAAAAACAATTCTTTGTCAGTTTCATGGGTGAAGAAGGGTATCTAATCAGTGACCATCCTGAAAGGAGATGTGACCATAAACCCCCCCAGTGCCCACAAGATAAAGCCTAAACTCCTGTTGTGGCATCAAAGGCCCTGCAAACATCCTGGCAGGAACCTTCCCTCTGGCTTGGTCCCAGAGGGTTGAGCTGTGAGGGGCAGGCTGAGTTGCTTTCTTCTGTTCTGACTCAGATGAAAAGCAGAAAGGGACTGGATCCCAGGAAAGGGACTGTGGGCTCACGCAAGGGCTATGATCCCTACAGGCAGAGGGTGGGAGAGCTGGCCTGCTGCTGGATGGCCAAGCCCAGTTCTCCCATCATGCAGACAGTGCCGCTGAGGCCAGAGGAAGGAGGTGCTCTGTGAATTTGGGTCCATTTCCACTGTGTCCACTGAGCTCTCAGAAAGGAAAGCTGGGAAGAGGCTCAGTACCAGGAAGAGGCAGCTGTGGCAGAATCCAGGGGATGGGGTGAGGAGCGGCAGGGCAAGTCCCCCAAGCCAGGTAAGGCCTGGATGCTGTGCAGGGAGGCCCCAGAAACTGCTTCCACCTCTGATGGGAGATGGGGACCCAGGTGCTGCTCTGCTCAGGGCGATCGGTGGCTGGACAGGTCCGGAAATATTTTTTTTTCTTTTTAATTGAAGTACAGTTGACATGGTCCAGGAATCTTGGACTTGGCCTCTTTACTGCTCCTACTGTCACCTCCTAGGGGCACTAGGCCCCACCTGTCATCTGTGACCTCCTCAGCTCTGCGCAGATTTGGGAGGGACCCCAGGTCCTTCCTTTATCACCCCTGATTGATGAGATTATTTATTTGTATAAGAAATCTGTGTGGAGCCTGGGGTTGGGACAGAGTGGAACCCCGCATTCCCTGCTCTTTCAGTAGCACTGAGAACATCGCAGGAGGAGCACAGTGAGGGGAGCCAAGGGGGGGAGGCTTCCGGGTGGAGGAGGCATTCAAGCCGAGCCTTGAGGATCAGGCCATCCTTTTACACATGGAGTTTTGTGCTGGCTGGGGGCTGCCTTGTGGGAAGAACCAAGAAGAGCCCAGAGCTGGGCAGTGCTGGGCAAGACCCAGGCTCGCACTTGGCTGGTGTGTGGGGCTGCTTGGGGGGAGAATGTGGGGCAGAAAGCTGGGGTGTGAGGACTGTCAGGACCAGCTTGTGAGGCCTCCAGTGCCCCACGGAGGAGCTTACACCTTGCCCTGAGAGCAGTGGGGAGCCGCTTAGGGGTTTCAAGCAGAATGATGTGATCACGTGTGCTTAAAGAAGATTCCTCTGGATGAGGATAGATTGGAAGGAGAAATAAGACTGATGGCTTGAGACCAGCCAAGAAACGGGTGTAAAGTTGCAGGAGTGGTGCCGAGGGCAGTGCTGGGAGAAGGAGCAGGCGGTGGGCTGTGGGCCATTCTGTGGCAGGACAGCGGGACTTGGAACAGCTCTCCTGAGATGAGGATTCCAGACCCACACCCTGCACCCCGCCCCATCCTCACTGTAGGCATAGGGAGGTTTCTGACCTGCAGAGCCCCTGCCTCCCCCGCTTGGAGGTCTGTCTCCTGCCCCACACCTTTCTGGCGGCCTCCTTCACCTCCTTGTTCCTTAGGCTGTAGATGAGAGGGTTCAGCATGGGTGTGACCACGGCGTAGAAGACCGTGAAGACCTCATCAGAGATATGGGCCGCTTTGCTCTTGGGCTTCATGTACATGAAGATAATGATGCCATAGAAAAGCAGCACCACAGCCAGGTGTGCTGAGCAGGTGGAGAAGGCTTTGCGGCGCCCAGCAGCTGAGGGCACCCTCAGGATGGTGGCCAGGATAAGTGTATAGGACAGGCAGATGAAAGCCAGGGGCATGGGCAGCAGCAGAATGGCCCACGCCAGCAGGAGGACCTCACTGACTGATGTGTCTCCACATGCCAGCTTCAGCACGGCCAGGATCTCACAGGTGAAGTGACTGACCACATGGTGGCCACAGAAGGGCAGCCTCATGGCGATGACTGTCTCCGTCACTGACTTGAGGAGACAGAGGACCCATGCGGCTCCTGTCAGCAGCAAGCAGAGCTGGTGGCTCATGAGCACAGAGTACCTGAGTGGCCGGCAAATGGCCAGGTAGCGATCGTAGGCCATGATGGCAAGCAGCACACACTCTGTAGAGCCTGTGGACAGGCTCAGGCACATCTGGATTGCACAGCCAATGAAGGAGATGGTCTTCTGGACGGACAGGAGGTGGACCAGCATCAGGGGTACAAAGGTGGACGTGTAGCAGATGTCCAGGACAGAGAGGTTGCCCAGGAAAAAGTACATGGGCGTGTGCAGGCGGGCATCTAGCACACTCACTGCCACAATGGCCGTGTTTCCCAGCAGGGTCACCAGGTACATGACTGAACACAGAGGGAAGAGCAGGTGCTCCAGGGCTGGGTAGTCAGAAAACCCTTTCAGAAAGAACTCAGAGATCTCTGTCCTGTTAACTGGCTCCATACTGCAGGGCTCTGGAGGAACACACAGCTGGGATGGCAGGAAAGAGGGTGCAGGGTGGTGTGGAGCCCACAGAACCTCTTTTGGAATGAGTCATATTGCTGCAGTCTTTTCCAACTCTGTGTGTGGGTTAACCTCCTCTGTGACTTTGGGCAGCACCCATACCTCTAGGATGCAGTTTATCTGTGTGCAAAATGAAGATTGGTTTAGGTCAGCATTTCCCTACAAGAGTGTTAATGAAATGCTAGCAGGCAGTCTGAAAAATCAATTTGAGGCAACAGTTATCAAAAGGAAATAAAGCTCTTTACTGCGGGACTTTCTCAGAGCCTTTAATATGCCAATGAGGTCTGTGGCTTTCCAGAAGTAACATGGAGCATGTAATTCCCAAACTTACTTGACCATGGATTTTCCTCTTACAGAGTGCCCATGAATCTACTGCAGATAAGTATTCTGCCAACATAGTTTGGGAAACAATGGGCTGGATCAGAGGTCCTCATATCTTATCATGTACCAGCATCACCTGGAAAGTTTGTTAAAACAGATTAGCAGGCTCCATCCTGAGAGTTTCTGACTCAGTAGGTCTGGGGTGATCCTGCGTGTGCTAGCCAGCATGGCACACTTTGAGCACCACTGAGCCAGATGGTCTCTAAGGTCCTCTTGGCTTTAAGGAAGCCTCTGAGCTACTTACATTGTTCCCACTGTTGGGACTGCCCTTTTCCTTTGTCCCTCAGCCTGCAGAAATCTGAGTTGTCTCTTCCTTGCAACTTTGGTCTCCGTGCGTGAAGCATACATTGTGCCTCAAATTGGAGGGGCTACTCGCCTCTGAGCCTATCAGTGGGCTCATCCACATGCCCATGACAGGGCCTGTTTCATCAGCGGCTGTGTGTGGATTGACCATAAGCATCTGATTTCATTGCAGGCATTTGAGCTAAAATTTGATGGACCTCTTAGCCCAGCCCCAACCTCCTATTTTCCCTGGGCCTGAGCTAGGGCTGCTTTGATTTCATAAATTCCTAGCACATCAGCATCAAAGTGCCCTGAGAGGTCAACTCATTGGATCTCCCATTGTGCAGGTAGGGAAACTGAGGTCACAGAGTGAGTCCCTGGCAAAGTGAGCCTAGAATCCAGTCTTCCCAACAATGTAACACTCGTACCATTCTCAGGGCTGGTGTTGCCTCTGTCAAGCCCTAGATGTTGGTTCTCTTCTCACACTAAATGCATGTCTTTCCCCACGTCCTCCCCACCTCTTCTCACCAGGGAAGGAGTGTGACTCGGCCTTTCCGGAGTGTCTGGGCACTTGGCCTGTTGTTAGTAAACCCATGGGATGCGCTCCCCAAGCCTGGGTCTGAGATGAGTACTGATTCCTGGTAATGCCTCTCTCACGTGGATGGTTTCCTTTTTTTAGTCCTGCATATTTTCTTTCCAGAATCAAGAAGTGATTGAGTTCCTACCACAGGAACTCATGCTAGGCATTGAGGAAAAATTTAGGCCATATGTGCTCCCAGATCACCAAGTCCAAACCACTCCCAGGCAGAAATCCTCGCCAGTCTCTGTGCCTAGCCACATTCTGCTCCTGTCTGCATGCCTCTCGTGAAGGAAGTGCATTACTCCCATAGACATGGTTTTCTTTTTTTCTTTTTGTTGTCTGGCCACTCTATGGGTCACAAAATCCTTCCTAATATGGAGTCTTGCAGAGTCTCTCTGGGCCTCCACCACCTAGCAAGGTCCAGGTTGGTTGGCCCCTATAGACACTCTTTTCTGTCACACAGAGTAACAATAAGGTCCAGAGCAATGTCCTGCTCAGGGGATGAAGGGTCACTTCTGCCTGCCCTTGTGCTTGGACCTCATATGGAAGGGCTTGCCTCAGTGAGACTGTGTCTAGAGACATTGTGGGGTCAGGGAAGTGTGAGCCGCCAGCTCCCTCCAAGATTCAGCTGGTAAACCAGAGACTGGGTTCCCGGAGGGCACCCTCATTTGACAGAGTGTCAGTAGCCACGGGTGCTGTGCCAGGGCTGTGGTCAGGTGCAAGGTGACATTGTGCTTCTCTACAGCCCCAGGGGCTGGGTCAGGCAAGAGCCTCCTCTCTGCATGGTTCCACATAAACTACAGTTTATCCCCTACAATCTCTAGCAAGCCTGTACAGCCATTGGCTAGCTATTGGGATATATTACACCCACACAGAGATACCACATGTGCACATACCTGCCTGTGTATGCACAAACCCATCTGACACCCAGATACACACATATATTCCAGTGGGAATGCACACCACACCTAGGCTGATTCATGTGTGCACATGTACGGCCGTGCACATGAGTGTAGCCACTCACATGCTTGCTCTCTCTTACACACACATGCGCACACACGTGCACACACCCAGGACAGGTAGTGCAGACCCTTGGACCTGTGGCCAGGGCTTCAGAGGACCAGGCAGGACTATTTCTCCTTGGAAGAGATGTGTGGAGACCAGACAGGGGCCATGGAAGTGTCACTAGAGAAGGGATGGCCCTGAGTGTAGGGAGAAAACTCTGCCTGGGATGAACCAGGAGGGTAAAGAAACAGCAGAGCAGGACATGGTTATACAAAACCTTACCTGCTCCCCAGCCTGAGTGCTGATGACCTGAGACCATCTGCCCCACCTTCTCTCCTCCAGCTGGGGGGTGGGGAGACAAGATGAGAGGGGATGTGGCTGGGTGCTGTGGAACTCTGGTTCCCAAAGCAGAGTCAGGTTGTCTGCAGAGCCCACCATGTCTTTTCTGCCTTCACTTGTCTCTGGGCCAAATGCCACCCAAAAGCCAGTTCAAATGCTGCCTCTCCCAGGGAGCAGTCCTTTATTCTCTCCCAGGCCACCCTGAGCTCTTTCTCTCGTACGTCAAGCCCTGTGTTTGCGTCTCTGGGCTGGTGGTCACCTCTCTGACTCCCTGCCTACTGCCTACTCCTCCCAGCCCACAGGGTACTATCTCCCTCTGCTCTCTCAGATTCTGAAGGCCAAGTTAAAGCCCGCAGGTTGGCCATAGCCAACTTTTTCCGGTCTTGCTGTGACTTCCTGGGGCTCAGACAAATTGGGAATGAGCAGCTGGCTGCCAAATCCAAGCTGTTCCTAGCCAGATGACATCCTGGCAGGGCTGGAGGGGTCTTACAGATCAGTGAGACCACCCCCTTGTTGTATATGGCAGGAAGGGGTTTGCCCCACATCACACAGTGAGTTAGAGGGAGAAGCCAAGGCTCCAGTAATTCCCTGGGGCTCCTGACTCCCAGCCTAGGTCCCTTTGTCTGCCCCCATATCCCCATATTTTCACTTACTTTAAATTCTTCCAGGTCCATTTCTCTTGCTCCCTGGAAGATGTTTGGAGACCAGGGACCTTCTCTGGCTGGAGTTAGGGGGGAACACAGGTCAAAGACACAGGCCTGAGCCTCCTCTGCTCAGGGAACCCTAGCAGACAGGACTCGGGGTTTCACACGGATTCAGCTTTCCAAACTGAGAAAACATGCTTAGACTTTTGTAGAATTCAATGATGTGTTTGCAACTGTATAGAATTAAGTGGAGCTTTTAGAATTCTGTGGAATTAGACAAAGCGCTTAGAATTCAGCGGGGGTCTTTGAAGTATGTCAGATTTGGTAGAATTAAAAAATTCTGGTGGCTCTAGGCTGAACCAAGTGCTCAATAGTTTGCTGTGGGCAGCCAGGGACTACCTGACCTGGGCAGCTCCCAGGTCCATCCTGGCTGACAGGCTCTTGGGGAGCAGGCAGGACAAATGGAGAAGGCACCTTTCAAAGCTCCCCGTACACCAGGGGACTGTGCAATCCTCAAGGCAATTTAGAGGGAGAGAAATATGCCCAACTTAGAAACTTTGGGGTGCTTCAGGGATGATGTCCCAAAGACCCAATTATACAGTCTACTTAGAAATCTTAATTGGCATGAAAAAGTTGGAGAAAGTAGCTCAGGGCCAGGGACCCACCTTCCCAGATCAGTCCCCAGCCAGTGCTGGCCAGTGGTTACAGAATGAATAAATGGACGGATGGATGAACAATTAAATGCATGCATGAGCAATTCTCAGTAAAAAATGAATGAGTGAGTGAACAAACGTTAGGCAGAGTTGCTTTCTAGAAGAGTTAGAGGTCTTGGCACAACTGTCATAGGGATCTTAAGAAAACACAAAATCTGGAAGTGATGGGGAGGAAACAGGATGAAGAGAGACAAACAGGATTATGGAGTATCACAGCAGGAGGGTCCTTATAGGCCCACCTGAGCAGTCCTGAATGTACCAGCAGGAAAACTGCCCTAGAGAGGTGGAGGAGTTGGCTCAGGGTCCCCATTGAGCCAGAAGCACAGGCCTGGGTTTGATATATGGCACTGACTTGTCTGCCCCTGATCTGTAGCTCCTTCAGTCAGTGGGAAGCAGGCCATCCTATGCCAGTTAGGGACTGCGAGCCTCTGTTCTCCACCCAGGCCCCCTTCCCCCTCAAAACAGTCATCGCGATTGTTCCTCCTCCTCGAGGCTCCTGGATCTCAGAGGCTGTGCGTGTTGGCAGGCTTAAAGGCCTCTTTATCAGCTAGGATTGTTTGTTTTGGAACTGGGATTCTTATTGTTGGAATTGTATTTAATTGGCTTAAAATTAAAAGTAATTTTACTAGCTTTCTATTTTTTTATGCAAGTTATACATACAGCACATTCTTGTAAAAAATATAAAGAATACAGAAGTATACACTATAAAAGTAACACTCCTTTTCACACCCCTCCCTTCTATTGAGATCTGCTAGGTTGAATTCCCTCTTACTAGCCTTTTAAAATAATATCCTGGCTCTCCTTGTACATTTTCTTTTCCAGGAAAATTTTGCAGTCAGCTTGTCAAATTTCATAAAAGTTCTTCTGGGATTTTGCCTTTATTTTATTGACTGATTTGGGGGCAGAATTGACATCTTTAGAAATCAAGTTTTCTCATCCAGGAACATTTTTTGTCTCATTAGCTTAGGTCTTTTACTATGTCTGATCAAATAGCTC